TGAAACTGGATCCTTTCCTTACTCCTTATACGAAAATTAATTCAAGATGGATTAGAGACTTAAATGTTAGACCTAATACCATAAAAACCCTAGAGGAAAACCTAGGTAGTACCATTCAGGACATAGGCATGGGCAAAGACTTCATGTCTAAAACACCAAAAGCAACGAAATAAAGACTTTCTCAGACAAATAAATATTGAGAAAATTTGTTGCCAGTAGCCCTGCCTTGCAAGAAATATCAAAAGAAGTTCTTTAGAGAGACGAAAAATAACATAGGTCAGAAACTCTCATCTACCTAAAGGAAGAGCATGGAAGATGGAATAATTGAAGGTAAAACGAAAATTTTTATTTTTCTTTGTCTTAATTGATCTAACAGATAACAGTTTGTTCTAAATAGCTATAGCAACAATGTATTTGATTATGTATGCCTATGTATATATTATATATGTGCTTATGTATGTTCATATATAAGTAAAATGAATGACAGCAATGACACAAGGGATGGAAGGGAGGAATTAGGATAGAAGGGAGAAATAGAATTGTTATTATAAGGTACTAACACTTCCCCTGAAATGGTATTGTGTTAATTGAAAGTGGGCTTAGATTATTTGTAAATGTATATTGCAAAATCTAGGGCAACCACGGAAAAAAGTCAAAATTAAAAAAAAGGAAAAAAAGAAAAAGAAATGGTGTAAATGTGGTATTAAGAAGTCTGGAGAGGGATAGCAGAATACATAAATAAAAGAGTTAGAAAATGATTGTCTTTGGGAAGTTGGAGTTCGTGAAAGACTGGGGACTGTTGCTTTCCATGTGACTAATTTATGAAACTATTTTCTTTTTAAAACTATATACATGTATAACTTGGAGAAATGTAAAACTAAACAACAAAAAACAAAACGGATAAAAGCAATTGTATTTATGTTAAATCCCAAGTCTGAGTTTTTTTGAGTCAGAAACTTCCCTTAGGTCAGGAACTTATGGCCAAATGCTAATTTGTATAGCACATAGTCTGGTGAATAATATTTTGATAAAAAAACACAAATGATTGAAATTATGCCCAAACTTTAGTATCTTTATTTTAAACGAGTATTTCTTAAACTGCGAAATAAGTTTCTCCAGAAAAGATGGGAAAGTTTTCAGTTTGTTAGAGAAAGAAATAATTGAAGAAAAGACTACCATTTGCCACTACGTGATAGCCACACTTTACCTGGTAACGTCTAGAAACTTACCTGAACAGAAGAGCATCATCTGTTAGAAATTTTGGCAAATTGGAGTCTCGTAAAGCTCTTATCAACACCACATCTTCATTTAGGTTTGGGTTTTCTCTTTTTAAAGATCTAAATTTAAAGGAATATTTTGGAATATTTAAAGGCATATCACAAGAACATAAGGTTGAATGTGACTTTCTAAACCTGTAGGGAGGGCAGAGACCTTCCCCTGAGGATTCCTGCTAGAAGGAGAGGATCATTTTCCCTTGTGTGCTCAGCGTTCATCTCCATCAGAGCACACTGACAAGTCCTGCAATGGCTATGCAGCCTTGAAGAGAATGACAAGGACATCTTCTCAACATCCTCCCCAATCCCGATGTTATTCAACCTGAATTTATAGTTCCTTGAATACATCATGATGATTCCTATGTCTATGATTTTCTTTTCAGTCTGCCCAGAATATCTTGCCTTGTTCTTTGCCTGCTCTTATTTTTCCCCTCAAAACTCAGCCCAGTGGCTCCCTTTGCTAGAAAGCTCCTGTCCTCTATCCTCCTTCTCAGTGAACCTTGGGTGGGTGCAGCCCTGTTGCTGCCCTCCCTGCATTACAGCTACATGATTGCACATTGGTCTGTCTCTGTGACTCACTGGACTAGTTGTGCTCCTTCAGTGCAAGTGTATCTCAACTTCTTAGTATTCCTAGTCCTTAAATGGCCATCCTGTAAAGAGGGGACATACTATATCTGAGAGGTTAAAAGATAGAACAGAGGGTAGAAAAGTGCAGGGAGATTCGTGCAGAGCCCAGTGATGCAGGAGCCAGGCAGAGGGTTCCTGGATGTGCAGAACCTGAGCCAATGAGTCATGGCCTGAAAGGAAGGACTAGAGATAAAATAGGTCTCCTCAGAGGCTCTGGACAAGTTGGGGATTCCAGATATAGTAGTTTCAAGAAATTATAAAGAGAAAAGTTGGGGCCTGAGAAGAGGAAAGACTCTTTCTTTACTAGATACTAGAAAAAAGTTTAGGCTTGGGCTATATTATAAAGACAGAGATGAAATCTAAGACATAAGCTGAACTGAATTGGAATGATGAAGTTTCTTTAAACTCCTGAGGCTTTCTCAGGCAACATGTATGACTGGCTTTGTTGCATATGCATAACAGACTGTGTGTCTTTTAAGTCTAGTCATACCATCTTAAGGTAGTAAAGGCTTTTGTAAACAAAAACCCAGTGTTTGAATTTGAGTTCAGGGGAAGTTAATGTTCTCCAAAGCCTAGTTGGAGATCAGTTTCCATCGAGGAAAACCATGTTAGGACTCACAGTGAAGAACTGTCATGGGATGAGGAGAGACAGCCTGTGTCACTTTGTCATAGGAGCGTCAAGGTAAGAATGATGACAACAGCAGCAGCCAACATTTACTAATCACTGACTGTATGAGAGCCTTTCCTGAGTTACCCATTCAGTGCATTTGATCACATGGTTTGGGATTTCACTCGACTACTTTGGTTTCTTACCCAGCCATGACCAAGACAGACTTCACAGCTCTCATGCCAAAGTCGTAGTGATCCTGCTGAGACAGCTGCTCACTGCAAAGCTTATACATTTGAGTCATTTTTCTTGCTAATATTTTACTGGATTCAAATCCTTCAGAATATAGAATTACCTAGAATAGAAAAAATAATGCAATGCTTATTACATTGTATTGATAACAATGTATTAGCATGATACCAACATAGTAAAAATTGACTCTAAGCATTATACCTTCCCAAGTTGTTATGTCCTTTAATAAAGAAACATAAAAATTGAAGGGAAGAAGGCTTTCTGTGCCACAGGAAACTGGAAGGCAGAATATTGTATGGGGATACCTAGGCACTGATTCTGTTTTCCATCTGTAGATGAAGATGTAGCTTTGGGAACATTTGGTTCAAGGAACAGAAGAGCCCAGCTTTTGAAAATGTTCCCATCGTGAAAGTTGGATGGTGTCATTAGGCCTGAGCACAAAAGCAACAACTGAGCTTCTCTGATCCGACAGGAACACCACCCTAGTGGAAGGTGATTGCTACTAGCTCTCTTAGTTTCCTGAGGAGTCAAGGGAAGCCATGCAAAGATTGTCAGCCTCTCCTCTGCCTTTCTTCTGACAAGTTTCTGCAAACTTGATTAAATGAATCAGATGATGCTTAGTGTCTTTGACAGTGGAGCTGGATGCAGACCCTTTTTTCTATGTATAATCTGCCTGAAACACTGCAGTTGGCTTCAGATGCAGAATTTAGAATGAGGCCGAGTTCTTACTGGTGTCTGTTTTGTTTACAGACCTATCCCTGCTGATTAGCACAGTGCTCTGCACACAGTAGGTGATTAAAAATATTTACTGACAGGCTGGGTGCAGTGGCTCACGTCTGTAATCCCAGCACTTTGGGAGACTGAGATGGGTGAGTCACTTGAGGTCAGGAATTTGAGACCAGCCTGACCAACATGGTGAAACTCCATCTCTACTAAAAATACAAAAAATTAGCCGGGCATGGTGGCAGAAGCCTGTAATCCCAGCTACTCAGGAGGCTAAGGCAGGAGACTTGCTTAAACCTGGGAGGCAGAGGTTGCAGTGAGCTGAGATAGTGCCATTGCACTCCAGCCTGGGTGACAGAGCCAGACTCTGTCTCAAAAAAAAAAAAAAAAAAAAAAATACTGACAACAGAATCTAATTCATTTAAACTCTAAAAATAATAGGAATAGCACTCAGAAGACTAGACTTTTAAATTTGTCCAATCCATTACTGAGTAACATAACAATAGGACAAAGCATGAGATGTGGACAACATGTTGGACTGGGCTCTCAGCTTGGTTTTCTTCCTACCAGGTTGGGACACTGAGCAAGTCATTTATTGTCTCTGTTTGCAGAAAGGGTCAAGAGTAAAGATACTACCTGCCTTACCTGCCCCCCACCCCACCATGCCCACAGTGGGTATGGCAGACCCCTGAGCTGCCGTAAGCATTATACTAATTGACATAGTTTTGATATTTATCCCCGCCCAAATCTCACATTGGATTATAATTCCCAGTGCTGAAGGTGGGGGCTGATGGGAGGTGTCTGGGTCATGGGGGTGGATCCTGGATCCCTCATGGCTTGGTGCTGCTTTGCAATAGTAAGTGAATTCTGAGATCTGGTCATTGAAAAGTGTGGGGCACCCCCCAACCCACTCTTTCTCTCTTGTTCCTGTTTTCACTATGTGCAGTGCCTGCTCCCACTTCACCTTCCACCATGAGTAAAACCTCCTTAAGGCCACCCTAGAAGCCAAGTAGATGCCAGCACCACACTTTCTGTACAGCCTGCAGAACCACGAGCCAATTAAACCTCTTTTCTTTATAAATTACCCAGTCTCAGGTATTTCTTTATGGCAATGCAAGAAAGACCTAATACACTAATATAGGTTGTAATTTTTCTAATGATAGGATTTGGAACAGTCTATTCTATTCTTAAGCAATTACTTTTACTTCACATAGAAGAATATTTAAAATTAGCTGTTATCACAGAAATTTTCTGAGAAATTCCATCCTAAAGGGGTAGTGTCCCTTCTTAAGAAATGCAGCATTGAGCACACAAGGGGCCTTCTGGAGTCCTAAAAATGCCTTATATTTTGGTGTTCGTGGTCACACAGATGAATGCATGTGTAAGAATTCACTGAGCGACACCCTTATGAGCTGTGCTCTTTATTGTGTATAAATTATACCTCAATAAAAAGTGCCATGAAAAATATGTGTAACATTTAGCTGGATGTAGTACCATGTGCCTGTAGTCCCAACTACTCAGAGGCTGAGGTGGGAGGATTGCTTGACCTCTGTTTGGTTCCAGCCAGGGAAGCCTAGTGAGACCCTATTTCTTTTTTTTAAAAAAGTGTAAAATTTAAATATATCAATTATTTTTTAAAAAATTATTTTATTATAATTAATTAAATATTTATTTATTTATTTTGAGACTGGGTTATGAGACTGGCTAATTTTTATATTTTTGGTAGGGATGGGATTTCACCATGTTGCCCAGGCTGGCCTCTAACTCCTGGACTCAAGCAATCCTCCCGCTTTGGCCCCCCAAAGTGCTGGGATTACAGGCCTGAGCCACTGTGCTTGGTCAAATACATCAATTTTTGGCTAGCATTTAAATTCTTGGCTATTTAAAGCCCGTTTAAATAGAAAGATGCCTAAGTGGATACAGAAAAAACAAACATGATTATAAATAATTAATTTGTTAATGATTACTATTTTTTGACTAAGTTGATACAGACTTATAAGCCCATCTCCACCCACCTCATAGTGAGGAGGCTACTACTCAACATCCCTTGACTCCAGTAAAAAATAATGTGCAAAGAGAAATAAAAATAATCTGTGTTTTTGTAACTAATCCAGACATTTTAATTCCTAGAGAGGAACTGAAAAACCCCAATGAACTGGTTAATTAAACTCATTGATTCTTTCCAGTTTTAGGGGCCTATCATATTCCAGATATCATTCTGGGTATTACGGATATAGCAGTAAACAAACAAACATGCAGGACTTAACACTCCATGTGATAACAATCGTATCTACACTTAATAATGTATAACCATTACTTGTGGCATTCATAAAGGAAACTTTGTACCTTGGTAGAATTGAATGGTAAATAAAAGAAACAAGTTTACATTTCTGCTGCTTTATAATGTGATGCTCACCTCTGCAATCAAGGCATAATTTGGAACCATCATCGCAAATGGTCTAAACAGGGCTTTCAAATTATCTGGCAATTCAGTTCTGCCTGCATAGCCAGGATTCATTGTGATGAAGGCTGCACAAGTCATCACCAACTTTATTTCCCGCCCCTCAAACATGAATCTAGAGAGCTGTTCGAAGATAAAATATATGTTAACACTCTTCCAGACACTTGTAAAATTTTTCACCTTAATTATCACTCGAATGCAAGACTCATGTAATGAAGCACTAAAGCAAAGACTACTGAACACCATTGTTGGACAACAGGGAACATTTCTGATTCTGTCCTGTCTATTTCCAATATCTTCTGGGCTCTGTGTTTCCTGATTTCTGCCTCCCTGCACCTGACTTGCCCAAATTGTCTCTTCCTTCCTAGTCAAGTCCTGAAATCTTCTAGGTCTGAATATTTACTGAGCCTCTTCAATTCAACTTTCTATTTTTTTTGAGACAGGGTCTTGCTTTGTCTCCCAGATTGGAGTGTAAGTGGCATGATCAGAGCTCACTGCAGCCTTGACATCTCAGGCTCAAGCAATCCTCCCACCTCATACCTCAGCCTGCCAAGTAGGTGGGACCACAGGCATGCCCTGCCATGCCCCACTAATTTTAAATTCATCTTGGACTTACTGACCATTAAACCTTCTCCACTCCCACTTTCTGGTATTCCCCAAGAAATTTCAATCTAATCTTAGTTCTTGAATTGTTGAGGCCCCACTGTCACTGTTTTTGTCACCACCCCTTCACTTTTACTTAACAACAAACACTTGTTGAGTGCCTGTTGCAAGTGAGGCAGTAGGTGAGGCATGGATGCACACAGCTGAAGGAGCCTCACTCTTGAGATCACCAGAAACTCCCAGGCTTGCTGTCTGCAATCAACCTGGAAGCCACGACCACACAGTGCAACACATGCTACAGTGCAGGTGTGTGCAAAGCCCATGGGGGCAGTAGGCAACCTGCTTGGGATCTGAAGAAGGAAGAATGATGTTTCAGGTGAAGGAACAGGGGCAGCCATTCCAGGAAAAGTGAGCAGGAGCAAGAAACAACACTGCATGTTCCAGAAATGACCGGCAATTTACTTTGCTAAAGGGCAAAGTTCCAGAAAGCATAGCTAAGCTGGGCCTGAGCATCAGGAGTCTTGCACACTAAACTAAATAATTTAGATTTTGTCCCATGTTTGTGGGGAAGCAGTGAAGACTTTTAAGCAGAGTGATAGGATTGAAGTTGGCAGCAGAGAGGTTGGACAGGCTACAGACAGGGAGATTAGTAAGGAATGATCACTGGGGACATGATGAGAGCCAGAATTCAAGAGGTGTAAGTGGGGAGGAGAGGCATCTAGTAAATAAAATTAACAGGATTTGGTGATGGCTTAGATTCTGGGATTGACAGTGATGGGTCAAATCCAAGGTGAGTTCCAGGTTTCTAGTTGGGCCACTAGATGAAGGTGCTATCAACAGACATGAGGAATACAGGGAAGATCAGGATGGAGTAGGGCACATTTGGATGGTACAACTGGAGACCTTTTCTGCTGCTGCTGAATGATTGCTTGTGCTAGCAAACCTCTCAATTTCTGTGGTTTAGTTTATCTATTTCAAGTTATATACCCCACTCCAACGGTCTTATTTGGCACTGGCAGCTTGAGGACGAGGCTGGTTATCTGCAGATGCTCTCCTGTCTTTCTCTGCCCTCACGTGGCTGCTCTCCAGGGGGCAAAGCTTCAGTTCCGCCTCTACTCTCTCTGGTCCCCGTCCCCTTACTCCATATACTTTGCTGTCACTGAACTGCTCAACTAGATGATAATAACTTGCATAATATAGAGTACGCTATCTCTCTATTTAAAGACCTTGCATTTAATGTAGGCCTCCCCAGAGTATGCAGGAACATGAGGGTGTCCAGGTAAGGGAGCTTAGACTTTAGGGTCTGATAATTTTTGATGTATATGAAAATAGTTTTTAAACTTTGAATTCTTTTCACCTATTACCTTGGGGGAAATGACATATACTTCACATAGGTTTGGTGTAAGATGAAACAAGTGTGAGCACATACCACAATAACTTACACAATTTAGTAGCTCACTATAGTCCAAGTCATGATTGCTTTTGATTAGTTATATAGTTCGCTTTTTTGCAGAGGGCGATAATCAAAATATTTAACAACTCTTATCAGGGCACCTTCCAACGAGATAGCCTCTGCCTCTGGAGCTAGAGCTGAGTCCAGAGTCCCCCGTGCTGTGCCAGGATGAACCCTTACTGGTGGATCGAGAGGAGGTCTGGCGCTCTTTGGAAAGGGCCAAGGGAGTAGTGGGGGCCCTCACAGGGCTGGGAGCAGTGCTGTTTTGGTTTGTAGAGGCTGTACACCAGTGCTGCCCATTGTGACCAGATCTCCAAAGGTCAACACAGAGTGGTAGAGACTTGGTCCCAGCCTTCATTGCCATTCGCTTCTGAATATGAAATTCCTTCTCTAGAGGCATGCTTATAAGGGGCTCAAACAAATTTTAAATAATAGGACCACTCAGTATCTTCATCTCACCCCATATTCCTTGGATTTTTCCAGTCCAGTGAGCTCTGGAGAGCCAAGTCCCCTTGAGCTCCCCAGGATTCCTCCCTAACATTTTCAGCATCTCCTTCCTAAAATGTAACATTCTGTGAGTTAATGACAAACTTAAGGATTGCTACCTTGAAAGTCGATTGCCCAGTGCCTTACCTTTGCCGCTTTGGCGTTCCTAATGGTAATGAGTTGCTGCGCAATGACGGACAGAACTTCTACGTCAATTCGATTAAATTCATCAAAGCAGCACCAGGCCCCTGACTGTGCCAAGCCACTGAAGAAGCGCCCCATCATCTGAAATCAAAATAAAGCAGTTCAACTTTGCATTGCGTAGTTCAACGCCTTCAAAAATTAAATTTTGAGCTGAAATATTAAAGAAAAAAGAGATGGTATCTGCAAATAAGCGATAGTTTTATGTGAATACGGGTCTATGTCAGAAGTAAACACTTTTCTACAAGAGGAAATATGTTTCTGAGTCTCTCTAAGTGATTTGAATCTGTTTTATTTTTAAACAAAATGACAATCTGACCAATTTTCCTTCTTGTTTATAACCTCCACTCACCTCTGCAAATACTTGACAGATTCTCAAATAATCTAACACATGGAACATACAAACTTAAGGACTTTAAAAAAACTTGCAAAATTTTACTAATGGAAGCTTTCATTGTCTTTAGAAGGTATTCTACATGGTGGACACACACAAGGACTACTGAGCAGAAGGCACACCTGTGCAGATTATGGCAGCGATTCTTAATTTCTTCTACAGCAGAATCCTAATGGTGGAGGAAAATGAGAACGTACCATCTAAAGTGTGGCATTTCTTTTGGGCACTTGAGATATTGGTTAAGCATGTGTATAAATCTTGCGTTATACCATATCTATCTCTTTAGTAGTAGAACTAATGGTTTTAAAATTTCAAGGTGGTCAACTGAACACATACTACTTCTTCCGCTTCCTCTGATTCCCACAAATCACAGAAAGACTGATAGATCTGTGTGCATATCTCTCTCCTTTTCTGTGTCCACACTTATACCTGTACCTGCTTGATAAAAACATAATGGAAAGGGAAACCAGCAGGAAGAAAGTTTTGAAAAAAAAAAAAGCTGGAACATGTAAAGTATAGGGAAACAGATTGTCCAACTGAGAACAGAGAATTGCAGTTCCAAAACAGAGGGAGGGGAGTAATGCCCTTCATGAGGCCTCCAAGAAATTCCAAACCCAATATCAATACATGCAAGTTGGAGTACATGCAACATGAATACATACATGTAGAAAAGCAGACATAGGCTCTACAGAAATATTTGGAAATTAGGCAAAGATCCACACTTGGAATGATTGGGTCTATGGGTCCTTCCTCTCTCTGTTCTTCCTTCCTCTCACCCCAAGTAGAGTAAACAGGGCTCTTGAGATTTTAGTGCTGACATCCCCACCAGGCTAAAACGAAGGACTGCCTCATAAACAAAGGGGGAGATCTGCCTTGGGGAGATATTAATATTAGGAGATACTGGGAGATGACATTATGCTTGGGAGATAAGGTAAGTAGAGACAAGGAGAGAAAGATGGTTCCAGACTTCCACTTCAGTCACTGAGATTCAAAAATAATAAAAGAAAGTGAAACCCACTGAAATGTACTACATTAGAAGGAAAATCCTTATTATTTGGCATTCGATGTGGGCTTTCTCACTTACTGGCTGCTTGGTGTGCGTACATTCTATGGAGAAGCCTGCTGGCTACACATTCTATACTCCCACAGAGCTCTTGGTAGCTCTTTCATTCAAGGAAGGGGCATTTGGGGGAAACAAGTTGTTTACACTAATTAAATTAGTCCTTCATCTGTCCTTACGAACCAATAGGTGAAGATTAAAGAAAGAGAAGGAATGAGAAGAATAAACTAATGAGCAACTTTGGAGAAAGTGGAGATAACTTAGGGAGCAGAAAGTAATTTTACAAAATTGAAATGGAATCCTCAGAGAGATTTGGGAGGGAAACATATTCCTAAAATAAAACAAGATACTCTAAAAAAAGAAATTAGTCAGAGATAAGAAACAGTCCCTGGAAATTAGTAATAATATAGCCAAGGTAAGAGAAGTTGAATGAACTCATAGAATGATAGTACTAAATGATACTCATGGACAGTACTAAAGACCAAGTTGGTGTTCTGTACAACAAAGCTGCGGAATGCTTCCATATTGTAGGGGAATGGTCTTCATACTTAGGATACATGTAAGTCCTGGCATACGTGGAGACTTCCCAAGGGATACTTATGAACAGACAGTTTTAAAGGAAGTAAGAAAGAAAATTCCAGATCTTGATCTGTGACACAGACTTTTTGCTAATATTTTTCTCTTTGAGAACATGTCTGTGGTCATGATGGTTCTTCACTTCCATTTGCTCTTCAAAAATGACCCTCTCTCTCTGCCACTCCTGCCTCTGCAGTTTGTGCCTGGCTGAGGAGGAGAGTGGGGGGTTTGAAATCCAGCCCTGACATGGCTGCTGACTTGGTGAACGTGTGCCACAGGTGTAGAGGCTCAGCAGATGATACTAGCAGGCTTGCTCTTATTCAAACCAGATCTTACGATGGTGCATTGCCCCAGGATGCAAAAACCTCCAGGGTGCCAAACAAAGGAGCAGTTCCAAATATTGATCATGAATGCAGGAAAGCTTGCAATAACTGGCTGGTTAACAAATACTTTTTCGAGTCAGGTGATCTCCAATTCTTCGTTTTCAACAAAAGTGAAGGACAGGGTCAATGCCTACAGGCCAAAGATAACCAGGAACATACCTGTAGTTAGACACAACTGGGTTTACCACTCGTTGCAACAAAGGAGACCACACTCTGTGGGAAACCAAGGTTTCTCTCAGTAAAAGGATATCAGGAGGACTTGTCACAGGATTTGGGCTGTGTTAGAAAATTCTGGGGGTCAGTGAAGAAGGGTTTTGCTCTATTAGTTTTTAAGAGCTACTATAACAAATTGCCATAAACTGAATGGCTTAAAGCAGCAGAAATTTATTCTCTCACAGTTCTAGAGACTAGAAGTCTGAAATAAAGGTATCAACAGAGCCATGCTCATTCTGAAGGTTCTGGGGTGTAGGATTCTTCCTTGCCTCTTGGTAGCTTCTAGTGGTTGCCGGCAACCCTTGGGATTCCTTGGCTTCTTGTACTGCTTCACTCTGATCTCTACCTGCTGTGTATCTTCACTTGGCTGCCTTCTCTCTCTCTGTCTATATCCACATTTTTCTCTTCTTACAAAGGCACTAGTTAGTTATTTGATTAGGGCCTGTAGAATTCCAGTATGGCCTCATTTTAAACATCTGAGTCTTTACAAATGTAAAGACTCAAATTAGGTAACATTCAGATACTAGGCATGAGGTCTTGAACATATTTTGAGGGGACACAATTCAACCCACAATATTGTGGATTAGGTGCTGATAGGAAGCAGGGGCAAATTTATGATGGATATCATAATCATATTATACAGGAGGCTGATGGATAGCTGGCTGAGGCTATCATTGGTAAAGGTGAAGCAGTTACACAGCTTAGCCTGGAGAGGGAGATATTAGACTATTTTTTGTGGTTTGGACAGCATTCTTGTGTGTTCTCAGACACGATTATGGCATCTCATTCCATAATGGATGCATCATGACCTGGTCTGTAGTTGGTGGCCTGTGAAATTGTTTGTGTTCTACCGGAGAAGCAAATAGTCTGAGTCAGGTTGGCTCTCAGCTGATAGCGGTCAGGGGTTATTTTGTTTTGTTTTGTTTTTCAGAGATGAATTGTGTAGCAATTAATTGATTAGAAATAAGTTTTGGTGTTATTTCTATCATTTTATTTTGTGATGATTTCTATTAAAAAATCTTTATTTTGAAAAATTTCAAACATACACAAGAGGTGAAAGAAGGTATATGTCACCCAGCTTAACAATTACTAACATTCTGCTATTTTCAAAATACTCTCCAACATTTTTTGTTGTTATTTTAAAGCAAACCCTAGACATCATATTATTTCACAATAACCTCTGTAACACATAAAAACCCCCAAATTACCCATATCAATACTGCTAACCTACTCAAAGAAAAACCCAATAATTATTTAATATCTTGTTCAATTTTCCTCAATCGTACTGATATTGTCTTTTTACAATTGGTTTGTTCCGATAAAGATACAAGCAAGGTACAAACATTGCATTTGGGTACTGTGTCTCTTAAATCTCTTTAAATTTATAGCAGTTTCCTGAATCCTCTCTCTTTTATGCAATTTATTTTTGAAGGTCTGTAAGTTATTTTCCCTATAGAATTCCCCTGATTCCATATTTAGCTGATTGTATTCTTGTGGTGTTAACACATTCCTTTATCTCATACACCTGTACTTCTTGAAAACTGGTATTTAAATCTAGAGACTCCATTAGATTCATTAGGTTGAAGGTAAATTTTTTGAACAGGAATAATTCATAGCTTATATATCATAACAGGAGATACGTATTTTTTGATTGTCAAAGTTGTGATTGATCAGTGGATTACTATCCCGATTCGTCCATTATAAAATTTCCAATTAGTCTTTAGTGGTTTTAGCAATGATGGTATACCATTTCATACTCCTCAGACTGACAGCAGTTATGGAACCTGACAGCATGGGCACGGATGTGGCGCATAGGCAGCTTTTATACACTTGCAGGGGGAGTATAAATTACCACAATCATGGAAGAAGCATTTGTCCTTATTGAGTCAATATGATACGTATATGTACCTTGAGACCAACTCCTATATTCCAAGCCGGATAAACCATGCACCCATTCACCCGGAGGCCTGTGTAATAATGCTTATTGCAGCATTGCTTACAGTAGCAAATACTATATTAGAAACAACCCAAATACCTATCAGAAGAAAAAAACCATAAAAACAGAGCAGTGAAAATGAATTTAAAAAAATAGAGCTATAGTATTAGCCTGGATGAATCTCATAGACAAAGTGCTCAGTGGAAAAACCAAAATGTAGAATGTAGCACACAAAATGGTGCTATGTTTTAAATTTAGGACTACACACATACATATGCACACATGTGAATGATAGCCCCCAAATTCAGAATAGAAGTTATCTCTGGCGAAGAGAGACAGAGGATTTCAAGTGCGCTGGTAACATTTTATCTCTTAGCTGGGAGGTGGCTAAGTAGATATTCAATATTTTATTCTTTATATCTTTTTATGTTTCTAAATTTGCATAAAATATGTACTTTTTAAAAAAAAGGTAGAGAACATTTGACTTGAATCAAAAGACGTGTTCAAATTCTTTTCTCTGCCATTTTCTAGTGGTGACTGCTGGCGAGTTACTTCACTGTCCAAATCTCACTCCCATCTGTGCAATGATGACAACACCTATCAAAGAGGACTGTTGGGAAGGTAAATCAGATAATATGCCTTCTCCTGAGTCTAAACACAAAGTCTCAGCCCAGTGCTTGAGTGTTTCGTTTGCTTTTTGTAGAAAGGAAGAGTTTCAAAGGAGACCAAATCCAGAGGAAAACTTTAGGGCAAGAGAGTTCCTGGAGGAGCAGGAACTAGGTCTTAGGAAAGGCAGCACATCTGACCAGGGATCTGCAGGGTAACCTCCTTCTGCCCAAATCTCTCCTCTCTCTTACAAAGTTGTCAGGAACCGGAAAAAGCAGGTAGAGAAAACAGGAAAATGGGACTGGTCAGAGCCCTGGGGAACATCCACACATGGAGGGACATTTAAGGCAGAAAAGAATAGCCTCTGGAGACAATCTCGTTTTGCTTAGAAAGCTTATGTTGCAGAAACCCTTAGAGGATACCATTCCTCTTTCTCTGGAAACTGCGTACCACATCTAACTCTCAACAGCCATCCATGCCTGTATGAGTCAGACTATACCCTCTTCTTCTGGCTATTGCTTATGAATCTAGGGGTGATCACTTGAACCCACTTTGCCAGTTAGAATTCTACTTTCAAAATTTGAAATATGACCCTGCTGTTTTCTCTGCAAGGCTCTAGAGAGAAGGCTCTAAAGTTCCCAATGCCAAGGAGTTGGCTGCCCTCGTTCCTACTCAGCCTGAGTCATGCTCAACTCTTCTCTGGATTCCGTGAGATATCCCACTATCTAAGTAACCTTTCAATAAGTTTATTTTTTCTTATTGTTGCTTAAAATGTAAAATAAGTGCGTTTATGTGTTTAGCAATCTAAACAAATACAAGAAAATAGCAACAAGCAAGAGAAAATATGAGCGTATTTAAGAGAAGTGGAGAACAGAAGTAGGAGGCCCAGAGCAGAGAACAGAGACAAAATGATAAGCAAAGAAGCAATAAAATAAGGTCTCACTAGGCTGACAAGACATATTTTTCCCATTAAAGAGCTTCCCAAAATGACAAACCAAATGAATAAAGAAAATTATCTTATGTAGACACATCCTGGTAGATTTTCACAATACCGAGGATCAAGAGAAAATCCTATAAGCTGCCGGAGATAGAGAGGAAGCAAAATATTACCAAACCTCCAAAATTTATTAAGCCATGATCAATTTTATCATTAGCAAAATGCATACTAGAAGACAGTGAAGTGAGGCCTTCAAAGGCAGGTGAGAAAATCATTTTAAACCTATAATTCCACCCTCTACAAATTATCAATCAAGTATGATGACTCAGTAAAGACAGAATATTTATAAACGTGAATGGGAAAAAAATTGCTCAAGGAAGTATTCCAACAAAATTAAAATGAAATATAAGAAAGATGCAAAACTGAAATACAAAGAACAGTGGCAGCTGAATCTACTCTAGAACAGTGGTTCTTAAATCTGAGTGTGCATCAGAATCACCTGGAAGTTTGTTTCAAAAAAGCCTCTCATTGCTGTGCTCCAGCTCCAACGTTTCTGATTAAGTAGGTCTGACATGGGGCTTTATAATTTGCATTTCCAACAAGTTGTCAGGTGACGCTAATGCTGTTGGTTCAGGGTTCATGCTCTCAGAACCACGGTCTAGGGCTTAGCTTCTCAAAGTGGACCAGTATCGATGTGCACCACCTTGGTGGATGTCAGAAATGCACAATTTCAGGCCCCACCCCAGACCTGCAGATCAGAATATGTAGTTTAATAAATATCTCCGGGTGATTCACAGCACACAGAAGTTAGAAAAATAATGGTTCTGGCTGGGTGCAGTGGCTCACACCTGTAATTCCAGCACCTTGGGAGGCTGATGTGGGCAGATCACGAGGTCAGGAGCTGGCCAAGATGGTGAAACCCCAACTCTACTAAAAATACAAAAATCAGCCGGGCGTGGTGGTGGGTGCCTGTAATCCCAGCTACTCAGGAGGCTGAGGCAGGGAACTGCTTGAACCCGGGAAGCGGAGGTTGCAGTGAGCCGAGATTGTGCCACTGCATCCTGGGCAACAGAGCGAGACTCCGTCTCAAAATAAAAAATAAAAAATAAAAAGTGAAAAATAAAAAATGAGAAAAATATTGGTTCTAGAAGAAGTGAACAAAGTGGAAAGAAAACACGATCCACTAACCCTGAAGCTTAGGACGTTTACTTTGAATGGCAGGGGTTTGTGATATATGTATTGATCTTTCTCTATGGGGCCAATTATTCTATTAAATTCCACTATGAACAGTCTTTGATATTATAAGTGCTGTATAAGGGATTTACATTTTTATGTTCAGCCCCCAGACAAAGCAATGAAGATATAATTTAGTTATAGAATAAAATACACATTTTATAAAATTTGACATGGTAAAAGTGAGGTTGAAACAGAAAGTCCAACTTCATTAGACACACAAAGTTGTGTCTAATAAAATCCTCATCTATTTAATGTGTTGGCAGATAGTGTCCAAAGTGGGTACATAAAAATATAGAAACAAATGTATGCTTTTACAGTTTAAATAGCAACCACCAGAAGAAAAAAAGCCAAACAAGGATTCCTGCAAATCCATGAGCTTTTTTTTAGGGGATCTGTGAGGCCAAAGTGTTTTCATAATAATACCAAGGTGTTATATACTTTTTTCACTCTCACTCTCTCATGAGAGTACAGAGTATGAAAAGACGTGGATACGATTTCAGTTTTTACATAGCAAATAACCTTTAAGAAACTAATATTTGTCAAGTTTTGGTGTAGTTCAAAGAAGAGTATAAACAATTAACTGAAAAAGTTCTTTAAAACATTCGTCTTTTCAGAGTCTATATCTATGTGAGGTTAGATTTTCTTCAAATGTTCAACCAAAAAAACATATCTCAACAGACTGAATGTAGAAGCAAATCGGAGAATCTGGCTGTCTTCTATTATGCCAAATATTAGCATAATAGCAATATTTTGAAAACATTAGAGATTTTCAAAAATATAAAAGGGGGACAATTTTTTTGTTTGGAAGTTTTCTCATTAATTTTTAAGAGTGTAAAGGGGTCCCATGACCAAAAAGTTTGAGAACCACTGCATTGAAAAACCTTACAGGAATTCTCACCTCCCACATATTTCACGTTCAATACACCATTCTCTGAATTGCCAATTTCCTACTGTAAGCTTAGTCCTTGTTCTTCATTTTCCCTGCTATTCTATCTTGTACCTCATCTCATTTCTTTCTTCTTACTGACATGTACAGATTTTTTTATTTTTTCATAAATAAAAAATTGATTTATCAATTGATTGATAATCATCCCCTGGCCTTGATTCTTATCCAGACTACCCAGACCACCATGTGTTGACTCTTCTCCCTTGCTCTATTTATTCCACTTTAGCCATTATTTGCCCCATTTCTTTTCTCTTGCTTGTCATCACTCCATTCTCGCCTTATTTTATTATGTCGTGTTGCAAATAGAGAAATACATATAAAACACTTAAATGTTAATATTCAGATGCAAGAACTGTACCTTGTAGTCCAAACCATCCGAACAGTTAAAGACCACACACTGGATGGCAAGAGCTTTTGCCAGATCTTTGGTAGTCTCTGTTTTCCCAGTGCCAGCAGGACCAGCTGGTGCACCCCCAAGGTCAAGCTGCAAAGCTCCCATGAGGCAAAGATAGCAGCGATCCTGAAGAAAGTAATAAATTATCAATATGAAGGGAACCAACTCTGGCCACAAATTAAGTCATTTCCTTTCTATGGGGGAAGGATTATAATTTTCTATGAAAAATAGAGCAACTGAAATACACCAAAAGATCCATGCACATAATTAAATAATGCAAATCTTTGCTTTACAGAGATGTATTCATAATAAATTCTTTCAAGAATTAATGTCATATGAAACTTTTCAAGACTTTTGATTGAAAAGCACTCTCAAGTCAATATTAACCTAAGTGATCAATAACTTACTGTGAGTGGAGTAATAACCAATCTTGGGCATGCACCCAAATATTCATAGCCGTAAGTGTACTGAGAGAGCGCCATTCTAGCCACACAATTATCCAGGTCTATATCCCAGTAATAGCGCAGTTGTCTCTGCCAGTCAAAAGACTCAACTGTCTCCACCTATATGTGATACACATATTACATTACATATACATATACACTCATTTCAGAAAGCAGTATATAATTTTAGTTAAATGAAACAGTTACCTTGGATTGAACAAGTTCAGTGACTATATCTCTTGCATGCACATCAATGGTAATCAATGCAGTTAGGATGTTTCTGTGTAATTTAGGAAGACTGCCTCGAACTATTGCAGCCAGGGCATTTAATCTCTACAAATAAAAAAAATTGTCATGGTGAATTTTCCAAGATCAGCTTACATATATATATTATCTCTTTCACCATTCAATTTGGAGAGACATTGCTAAAAACCAGCTAATTTTAAGAATCTATAATTTTGTGACCAAACAGGACAGTACTTTTATTTAATTCCCATGAGACTTCTGAGAACTATATACTGTCTTTACCCCTATTGTATATTTGAGGAAACTGAAGGTCAGAGAGCATAAGTAACTTGATGGCAGTCACACAGTTACGAAGTAGCAAAATGAGACCTGAGTAGACATTTGCCTCCAGAAAAGCCCATGTTCTTAACCACTATGTGATGATTTTCTAGAGGAGAGTGTCCTCCCTAAAAATTAAATGTGGTTAAAGGTGATACTCTTCAGTTTTAGGGGTGGTTTTCCCATTAATAATCAGAAAGTCTGAGCATTTTAACCTAGCCAATGTCTAGTTAAATGAAAAAATTTTCAGAAAGAGTTAGCTAAATTTTTACTTGATTTTTACCTAAATAATTAAATCTTTTTCAAAGAAGAGCAGCGCCTCTGAGGACTGTGCTGAAATGTCACTTGGGCCAACCCTGATGAGGGACCATCTCTACGTAGAGGCAAAGGAACTTTCTTTAGGGAGTCATTTCTCTTTTCTGAAGCTATGGAGATGAAATTTCTTTGAGGAATTTCATGAGAGTGCTTTCTCTTACTTCAATAAAGTTGTTTTATTCAATAAATAAATATTTATTGAATATTTACATACAAATATATATAAAGTTGTTTTATTTCAATAAAGTTGTTTTATTCAATAAATAAATATTTATTGAATATTTACATACAAATATATATAAAGTTGTTTTATTTCAATAAAGTTGTTTTATTCATAAGGTTGTTTCATTTTTCTGTTTTAAGGGTGAATCTTTAAAAATGTAGTATTACTTGGAAGTAGAATTGAATTTGGAGTTAAAGAGTTGGCTTAGGTCCTTATAAGATATACTATTTGTAAATATTTTCCTTTATTCCCCAGGTTGCCTTTTCACTCTGTTGATTGTTTCCTTTGTTGTGCAAAAGCTTTTAAGTTTGATGCAATCCCATGGATCTATTTGCCTTTTGTTGCTTGTGCTTTTGGTGTTATATCCAAGAAATCAATGCCAATGCCAATGTCAAAGCTTTTCCCCTATGTCTTCTTCTAGGGATTTTACAGTTTCAGGTCTTACACTTAAATCCTTAACCTATTTTGAGTTGATTTTTGTGTATGGTATAAGACAAGGGTCTAATTGCTCCTGCAACTTAATAAGCAAAAAACAAATAACCCAATTAAAAAATTAGCAAGGGAATAGAATAGATATTTATCAGAAAAATACATGCAAAGGGCTAACTGGGTATATGAAAAGATGATCAACATCACTAATCATAAGGGAAATGCAAATCAAAACCATAATGAGATGTCACCTCACAACTATTAGGGTGACTGTTATCAAAAAAACAAAAGATATCCCATGTTGGCAAGAGCGTGGAGAAAAGAGAACCCTGGTATGCTGCCAGAGGGAATATAAACATGGTGCAGCCGTTATGGAAAACAATATGCTGGCTCCTCAAAAAATTAAAAATGGAACTACCATATGACCCAGTAATCCCACTCTGGCACACATCCAAAAGAAGTGAAGTCAGGATCTGGAGGAGACTATCTGCACTCCTATGTCCATTGCAGCGTTATTCACAATAGCCAAAATGTGGAAATAACATAAGTGTCCATCAAAGGATGAACACAAAAAGACAATATGAGCTGGGCATGATTATCATGCCTGTAATCCAGCACTTTGGGAGACCAAGGCAGGAGGATCGCTTAAGGGAAGCTTTTGAGACCAGCCTGAGCAATACAGTATGACCCTGTCTCTACAAAAAATAATAATAATAAAAATAATTAGCTGGGTGCTACGATCACGTCCCTGCACTCCAGCCTGGGCAATGGAGTGAGATCCTGTCTCTTAAAAAAGAAAAAAATAGGGGCGGAGCAAGATGGCCGAATAGGAACAGCTCCAGTCTCCAACTCCCAGCGCCAGCGACACAGAAGACCCGTGATTTCTGCATTTTCAACTGAGGTACTGGGTTCATCTCACTGGGGAGTGCCGGACGATCGGTGCTGGTCAGCTGCTGCAGCCCGACCAGCGAGAGCTGAAGCAGGGCGAGGCATTGCCTCACCTGGGAA